TCATCTCAGTCCGTAAAGTTAGGTCTATTATATTTTGATGCCTTTTCATAGTATGTATTTCATTTACATTTATGTCCAAGTGGGAAAATAAAAGTCCTTATCGCATTCATCAGCCAGTTACCACGAGATTTCAGCGTGAGCTCCAGTTTTCTTCAGAAAATCCATTCAATATGCCTATAAAATACTGTAGGCTGAGAAATACGAACACGAATATGTGTGTGAAAAAGTGGCAGAAAATTTTGCTTATATCACATATTTTACAAACAAATTTATTAGGCATCTGCAGCCCATCAACGCTTAGATAGAGTGATAGAAGGATTATCAACATCAGAAAATGGGTTTGCTTATCCCCTCGTTGACCAACTGACTGTTGAGTAACGTTTGCACTCGAACTGGCCGCTGAACCACTGGTAGTCGGCCGCGGTGTCTGTTGCATGTTCGGCGCGGCAGACGGATACTTCGTGTAGCGCGTGTACGTTGCACCGGCAGGGACGGAGGATTGCCGTGCCGTGTTACCGCGAGGCGTGGGCCCGAGTCCCACGCTCACCGAACACGAAGACGCGCTGTGCCCTAGCTTACCACAACGACTGCAACTGTGCGCGTAACGGCAGGAGTTCCACCGACAGCCGTGGGGGGAATTGAACGCAAAGCAGACGCGTTTTTGCGCCGCTTGGTTTCGAGCTACCGTTGTGGGGGAATTTGCCACGGGCAGGAAACTTCCTGCCGCCGCAACTGTCACCCAAAGCTCCATATCCATTGTTGCCCACGAGCATGATAGCGACGTACCACTTGGTTTCTTGTTATTAAAGGGATGCATTTCTGCCAGAGAACTTAGCACTACACCAAGCCGGGGACCAGTATGTGGACTGGTTTCTATCGCGTTATTCCTAGTGCTGTCAGTCCCCTTCTGTTGGTTTTGATGGCGGTAGTCAGCTTCAACCTCCTCCATTGCTTGAAGCATGTCATCGTCCAGGTCGCCAGTGAAGAATGAGTCAAAAGAACCACCATGATGTTCTTCAGCTTGGCTTGTCAGCTGCTCTCTGAATTTGGACAGCTTTGTATTACGAGGACCCTGTCAATTGGATAAAATTAATGTTTTAAAACTGGTCATACATGACACTTGTACCATGTACTGTACAGACTTGGTGCACAAAAACAGAATGAAATTCTTTGAACCCCGAAA